ATATATTAGATACATATAGCTCACAACTAACAAATTTTCTTTTTATAATAAGCCAAGACCTATACCCTATGTAACTTGTTTGTATAGCAAAGAGGTGTGTTTGTGTTTGTTTTTGTCGTTTCCTTGATATCTCTATTGCTAGGTTGATACTAGGAAGTGAATGCTGCCTTGTCGAAAGTCTCTACGAAAAGGCCATCGTAACAGTACCTTAACAGTACCTTATCAGTGTAATATAGCCTGATGAGACTTCCCATTATTGTGTTAAAAGGTAAACTAGAGAAAACTAGATCTGTTTTCCACATTACCAGCTGTTTTTCAAATTATATCTTTAAACTCTTTCCAGAGTTTTATGGATTAAATGGCTAGTACCCAAAATTTATCGCACCTACAGACAGAACTAAGAACCAATCTTATATTAATCTAATCAAGATGTGATGATGATGATGACGATGACGATGACGATGTTAATGATAAGATGATTAACATAAGTAGGTTATTTTGCATACACTTTCTAGTCTGCGNTAACAGTACCTTAACAGTACCTTATCAGTGTAATATAGCCTGATGAGACTTCCCATTATTGTGTTAAAAGGTAAACTAGAGAAAACTAGATCTGTTTTCCACATTACCAGCTGTTTTTCAAATTATATCTTTAAACTCTTTCCAGAGTTTTATGGATTAAATGGCTAGTACCCAAAATTTATCGCACCTACAGACAGAACTAAGAACCAATCTTATATTAATCTAATCAAGATGTGATGATGATGATGACGATGACGATGACGATGTTAATGATAAGATGATTAACATAAGTAGGTTATTTTGCATACACTTTCTAGTCTGCGCCTCTTACTTTACGGCGTATTAAATTTTAAGGTCGGCCGTACTGTCAATGGCTAATTGGTTGGCACTGAGGGCACGTGCATACATTCTCAGCCGCAAGGCTTGGGGGTTGCTGACTGTGCTCTTGTGACTGCTGACTGGTCTCCTGAATAGGGTATCTTACGTCACTATCGGGTAGAGCAGCTTGCCTCTGTCTGGTGCACCTATCGCTTGCCCCCGATGAACCTGTAGCTGTGGCTTGGCACATAGTATATGTGCATGGCAATTGCTCGGTGGAGCTACGAGACTGTGGGAACTCTTCATACAAGGCGTTGGTCTCCTCATTAGGGTTACCCACTCCTCTGGCCAGCACAAAACGTTCAGGTCTATCAAGTGCTGTATTTAAAGTTATCCCTTGGGTAGAAGACGCCTGATTCCCAAATGGCAGACCATGTAGAATGTTATCCACTGAACGTCCTCTTGCGGGGATGTGACTATCTACGTCTTCAGATGGTTGACTTCCCACAGCCTGGATCGTAATACGAATGATATAGAATAAAATGAACTTTTTTTCAAAATTCTACCAGCTTGAGAGAAAAGATGATTTAAACTAAAATTCTCTCTTAGGAATTTTCTATCCGTAATCTAAAGATCACCCTTGATTAATTTGGTTAGTATTCAAGAGATTCACCGGTGTTTCCAAATAAAGGCATGGGAAGAGGAAATCTCCCCAAAACTCCTAAAGACACCTTGCAGCTTTATTTAACTATTGTGTAAGGAATGGCATCATGTTCCTTCGGATGACTGTCAGTGACTAAAAAGACAGATGAATTCTAGGTAATCAGGGGCGTAGCCAGCATTTTTCCAGAGGCGCGCACCTTTCCAATACATGTACATTGAATTCCCACATTACTTTATTATTTTGGTAAAGTTATTCTCGTCATTTACGCGTGTCAAAGAGAAATTACTAGATCTTCTTTCCGTCTTTTTATAAGCGCAGCGTAAACTCAACGCGTTGAGTTAAAAAAGAAGAAGAAGAAGAAGCTGAGGAGAAGAAACAAACGAATCAACCTACACTTTGCTCTGTCAATGGTTCCCTGATGGCTAACCTCTGCTGCTCGTCCAAATCTCCATTTGCTCTGAAAACAAACAGAAAAAGGTATACATTTAAGGAACTCTACCTATAAACAGAACGTATCACAGATGATCATCTTAAAGTTTTCGCTGTGTTTTTAAGAGGAGGCGAGCTGGCCTGCTTGCGGCGTTCTGTTGAGCTACCGGCCAGCCGCCCGCACACAACAACAACAACAACAACAACAAAACTTGAAGAGGAAACATAGGCATGCGCCTAGTCAGCCCGGAAAAGCAACCAATACAAAGGCAGTAGTGCTCCGGGCTAGCTCACCTCATATAAACGGGCTTGGAGTTCTCAGTTGCCTAGCAAAAAAACAAATTCCGACCGGTGAATAGTGCGACCCGCCTTAGCCTTATTCGGTGTTACTTCTGTAACAACAAACTGATTGTCTGAAACTTATTTTTGGTGTATTCACTGATCATGCCCGAAGAATGGAAGTCCGCAGTCAGATGCAATGTAAATATACTTTTAGCTCTATTTTGCTATTAATATTTTGAAGTTTAAGGCCTAGAATCGTTTCAATTTCCTCTCTTAAATATACTTCTGCGTCGAAATTCGTCACCAAAAAGATCCCTGAACTACTCGGAAGTTTCACTCGAAGTCCAACGGGAACTCGAACTCGAATCCAAACTCGAACATACCCTCACCCCCCCCCCCCCCCCCCCCCCCAAAAAAAAAAAAAAAAAAAAAAAAAAAAAAAAAAAACAAAATAAAAAATACATCCACAAAGAAAAACCAAAAAAAAAAAAAGAAAAAAAAAT